CATCCTGCCAAGCTGCCCTGGGTGCCGTGGCTGGCCAAGATGGAAGGAACACGGATGTTTTTCCCACCCTGAGCAAACAGAGAGCCTCGAACTGCTCTGAGCATCACCTGCCGATGCCAGCCACGCGCTGGGGTGCGCCAGGGTGGCATGGCACAGGGCACAGCCTTGCACGGAGATGCCCAAGCCCACGGTCTGGGTGTTGCAGATAGACGCGGCATCACTGATCGCAGCCTCCGTGATGGCTGCGCCCTGCGCCCTCGCCATGTCCAAGCTCGTCTACCCCGAAGTGGAAGAGTCCAAGTTCAAGGGCAAAGCAAACATCCGCCTCTCCAGAGGGTGAGTGTGAGGGGAGGGATGGTGGAGTGGGGCTGTGTGTGCCCTGCCAGTGTGGGGAAGCCGTGGGGGTGATTTGGGGGCACAGGTAGACATTGTGCGTGGCCCGAGGTTGGGAGATCCTGTGGTATGAAGGCATCCACAGAGTGAAAGCTGACCTAGCACAGGGGGTGCCCGGCTACGTGAGCTCATTGGGGTCTTTTTCCATGCAGGGAAGAGCAGAACATCCTGGAAGCTGCGAGTAACGGGGCTGCTGCCTCCGTGGGACTCGTGGCCAATATTGCAGCCAACCTCATTGCCTTCTTGGCGGTGCTGGAGTTCATCAACGCTGCCCTAGGCTGGTTCGGGGAGATGGTAGACGTCGAGGGGCTCTCCTTCCAGGTATCCCAAAAGGCAGCCCCATGGTCTGGGTTGCCAGATCCTGCATCCGCCACCCATCCCCACCCTTGCCCACTGCCTCAGTAGGGTGCCCAGAGCCCTGCTGGATGTTTGGCAAATGTTGGCAGTGGGTGTCCAAGCCGGGGGCTATGCAGATGGTCAGCTCTGTGTTGCTCTCTTCTGGGATGCTTTTTCCAGGTGATCTGCTCCTATGTCCTTATGCCAGTGGCCTTTCTCATGGGGGCAGACTGGGCAGACTCGCCACTGGTGGCCGAGCTCTTGGGGATCAAGATCTTCCTGAACGAGTTTGTGGCATACCAGCAGCTGGCCACATACAAGAACAACCGACTGTCGGGCTTGGAAGAGTGGAACGGAAGCCAGAAGCAGTGGATATCTGTGAGGGGCATGTGCCACCCTGCCAGGCAAAGGGCGGGGATGGAGACAGCCAAAACTGGGCATGGGACCTCACTGGGCAGATGGGTAGTGGGCAGGCAGGGGGGTGATGCCGTTGGGAGTGGGAGGGCACCTATGGCCAACTAGACTTGGATGTCTACTCACTGCTGAGTATGGGTTGATCCTGAAGGAATCAGTGAAGCCCTGTCCCATTTATCCTGCTCCTTGGTGGGGCAGATCATGGTGCTACAGGGCCCCTCGTCCCCCCAGCCCAGCCTCTCCCAGGGGTCCCCAGCCTCTCCCAGGGGCAGGCTCCCCACCGCCTGCATCCTCGCTCCCAAAAATAGCTGAAAGAGAAAGGATTGAGTGCGAGACTCATCTCCGTCATGTCTGGCTGGGCTGGGATCTATGACATGGTGCTCTGGGTGCCCTGGGGCTGATGCTGGGCCAAGGTGACCGGCCCCTGCCGCTGTGCCCTCCAGGAGCGAGCCGAGAGCATCGCCACCTTTGCACTCTGCGGATTTGCCAACTTCAGCTCCATTGGGATCATACTGGGAGCCCTGGGTGAGTGTGACCTATGTCCTGGATGCCTGGGCATGATGCATGGGGGATCCTGGTCCCAGGGAGCAATGGCTTGGCTGGGGTGGGAGAAATTTCCTGTCCATGAGCCTCTGTGCTTGGTCTCTGCCAGCACACAGACAAGAAACAGGACTTGCATATGGATGATTTTGCACTGCACCCGCGGGCAAGAGCACGTGCATGTCCCACAAGCCCAGGTGCCACCCAGCCATGGGGCAAAGAGCAGAGACTCCAGTGCTGACAGCGCTGAGGGTTCCAGTTGATCATCCGTGGGTGGAAGGGTGGGCACGGTGCTCTGCCAGCACCCACCGCTGCCAGGATGGGCAGACAGCACGCTGTGTGCTGGCTGGGATCTTCACGTCCCCCAGACACCAGGGATTATGGTGGGCAGGGCACTATGTGGCAGAGCCAGTTGGTTACCTGGGACACATCCCCATCTGTCCCCAGCCCAGGGTAGAGCCAGAGCAAGGATTTCACTCGCCCCGGTCTCTGCTTTGCCTCCACAGCCTCTTTAGTACCCCAGCGCAAAGGTGACTTCGCCTCCATCGTGCTGCGAGCCCTGCTCACCGGCATCTGCGTCTCCATGCTCAACGCCTGCCTGGCAGGTAGGTCCCTGCCCAGTGCCAGTGGGGCCAGAAAGAACTAGGGAGGACAGGCAAAGGGCTGAAGATGCCAATAAACACAGGTGTAGGGAGGGGGACAGCTGGCCTCTTCTCTGCAGGGCTCTGCCAGGACCTCCAAACCCTCTGCTCTCCTCCCATGGCTTTGCTAGGGCCTACCCACGCCCGATAGCTCTCCTGGGGCCCCTCCTCCTCATCTGGACTGGGATTAGGACATTTGGGGCACTGTGAGGAGCTCCCTGGGGTCACTGCTGCAGCTGTCTGGGGGGTGAGGTGAGATGGTGCACGGGACCTGCAAGCACAGTCCCAGGTACAGGATTTGCAAGTGAGCATAGTCAAGGTACGGGATTTGCAAGCATGTTCCCTCAAGAACCGCAACCAGGAGACCTTGTGCCCCAGGTCTCCTTCATGTGCCAACGGAGGTGGGTGACTGTGTGACCTTCCTCAGCACCGTCAACTTCAACTCTACCAGCTACACCATGTACATATGTTGCAAGCAGCTCTTTGCCAGGTGGGTACAAAGGGCCCCAGAGCCATATGGTCCTGTCCAGGGATGTGGGTGGTGGGGCACCAGCTCATCCTGACCATGCTTCTCTTCTTCCAGCTCGGTGCTCGAGAACGGAACGCTCTCCTTCACAGGAGCCTGGGCCGACCTGGCGGAGAGCACGCTGTGCCTGACGCAGTGCTGCGGGCACTACAACCACACCTCCTGCGCAGGGACAGCCTAGAAAGGTGCAGTCAGCTGCCCACTCCGGAGGCAAGGGCCTGGGAGCACAGCGGTCCGCAAGGTCTGACACCAAAGGCAGAAGAAACCCCGTCACAGACCTGTGCGTCTGGTCTTCTCCACTGCAATGATGGACAGTTCCTGTGTACCTTCCAACCAGCACCCTTAGGTGCTGGCCCCACGGACACAAAGGAACCGCTCCCAAATAAATCATGGAAAGCCCCATGTGCTCACCCTCAGCCCTCTCTGGCCCCCGACCGCGGCCGTCCCGTACGGCACAAGGTGCTTTGCTCAGGCTGCGCCCCGCCGCCGGGGATGACGCCGCAAGCAGCGTTCGCTGCAGACTTGGCAAGCTGAGCCTCTGCCAAGTGCTGGGTCACTCCCAAGTGGGTCCAGGCCTGGCCACCCTCTTCTCCCCCGCAGGGTGCAGATGGGGGTAAAGCCACCCTGCCCTGCCGTGCTTGGGTGCACCCTTTCCACCCGCGGAACAGGCCAGTCCTTCTCGCTTTATTGCACTCCAGAGCACCCATTCGCCAGCGCAGCCATGTTATGTACATCGTTATTTTACAATGACCCAACAACAAAGCACCAGGACTCTGGAGCATGCTGCGCTCCCAGCCCAGTCCCTCCTCTCCTCAGCCAGGCTGCGCCCAGACACCCAGCACCCTCCCCCAAAGCCCCAGGAAAGGTGATGCTCCGCAGGGAGATGAAGGAGGCAGCTCTGGGGCTCTCTGCAAGCCTCGCTGCCCACTGCCACGCTCTGCCGGCTGCTGCACGCCTGAGCAAGCTGACGGGCACAAGGGAGGCTTGATGCGACGCAGGGTGCTTTACCTTCCAGCATGAGCATCGCTGCCTGTCCGGTGCTGCCTCCTGCCCCCCTGCCACTGTGGGACGGCACATGCCAAGTGGGACCAGGTCGTGCTCCGGGGCTGGGAAGGGTGTAGGGGGTCTGTGTACGGCAGGTGGGCAAGGAAGGGTGAGTCCTGTGGGCTGGAGACCCACATGGGGACGGCACATGCCAAGTGGGACCAGGTCGTGCTCCGGGGCTGGGAAGGGTGTAGGGGGTCTGTGTACGGCAGGTGGGCAAGGAAGGGTGAGTCCTGTGGGCTGGAGACCCACATGAGCCAAAGCAGCACCTGGCGTGGAGGGGAGGTCTCCCCTTCACCCCGCTCCCAGGTGCCTCGTGTGAGGTAGAGCATCCTTACCGCAGCGCTGGCCGGGACCGATCGCCGC